ACCCACGACCCCGAGATTAAGAGTCTCATTCTCTACCGACTGTGCTAGCCGGGCTGGCGGTATATGATAGCGCTTCAGTGAAAATGCATTCACAGCATGCATGTTTTTGTTTGTTTACTTTGGAAAACACAGTGTCTGAGTAAATGAAAAGGGGAAGAGGTTGGGAATGAAGTGTGTTATGTATTGGAAATACATAATGTGTCTTTCCAGCAGGGTCTTGGTTTTGGACGTCACACAGGGTTTAATTGGTGTGGTTTTGGATCTTTTCTTAATGCGACGCTGTGACTCAGAGCTTCCAGAAGTGTTAGAGTGAGCTACCGAGCTCAGCTTTTCTTCCCCAAAGTTGTATTTTCCCATAATTCCTGCATTCTTTAGCCTCACCGAGTTCCTCAACAAACGATCCATCATTCTCTATGCTTATTTTCTTTCGCACCTCAGTGAGAGCGAGTAAGATAAACATTTACCAGACTTATTCTGACACTTTTCAGTCATGAAGTGTAAATATTGACGGGATTTCGAAATGTGTCCTCCGCTTCTGTCTTTGTTGCTGTGGGAGGGACTGTCAATAGGCACGACTGTGATGCAAATGAAGACAAATTTCTTTCTGTTTTTTCATGCTTTTAGAAAACTACAGGGAGACCAGTTTTGAAATAACTCCTTTTATACATCTGTATTGCAAAAAGAAGCCACATGCAAAGGATGCTCTGTCAATGAGAAATAGAGGCATATTTGAGGCTAACCTCCCCTGACTCTAAATGCTTTGAGTCAATTAGATTAAAAATGAGAGCACGTGAGCTACAGGGCTGGTAATAATCAGAAGAGCTCAGTTAGGGGTCTGTTCCACCTCCTCCACTCACTGTGACGCAACAAGGGACGTCACTTCACCCCAGGCAATTGCAAAACTTAATTTGATTGGCAAATGTTCTGATTGGTGTCAGACTCAATCCATAATTAGACAATTCCAGATGTGAGTCTGTTTATCTAATCCTGACTAAGGTGTCTGGTATGTAAACAGCAGAAATCCTGCTATTGAAAACAGACTCTGGCTTTGAAAGAATACTGGGGGGGAAATGTGTGTCTAGATAGATAGATAGATAGATAGATAAAGATTACATTTTCTAAGAACACTATTTATTATGAAAAGTGATAAACACTTAATTTTAAAAATATTTCTCTTGTATTTTAATAATAGTTTTAATTAATTTTGTTAACAATTCGGAAAAAATTATATCAGAAACAATACATTATCTTACACTTTTTTTCAAAGTATAAGGGTCGATATACAGTAGGCCTACATCAAAATCGATGCCTTACCATTTTAGAAAGGGGGTCCATTTTATCATATTTTGGTGGTCTTTGTCCTTAAAAAGTTTAAAAACACGATTTTCAATGTTACTTTCAATGTTGTTTACTTTTGAGCCAGGCTGAAATCAGATTTCTCATACAGCATCATGATTGATGGACGCTGGAAGTTTTGTGCTGTCATTGGTGATGTGGAGAGGTCAGAAAACTGAATAAGATTATGCTCAGTCTTGTGCAAGAGAAAAATCTGATTTCCATTGATTTCAGTCAGAGTTGCACAAATTATTACTCAACAGGCAAATCCTACAGAGGGCTGTATATCTTGGAAAAAGTGCATATAAACTTGGTTGATTCTATAATCTACAATTCATATGTTGTTTCTTCTCCTCAAGTTGTTCATTGCATTGGGGTTTCTCTCAGGTAACTTTATCTCTGAGAAGGTGGTAGACAAAGAAAATGGAGGGGGTGGGGTTAAATCGCCCCTTTCACTTCCTTTTAAAGCGTTTGCTATAACAAACAGGGTAGCCTACATTTCGAGATTACCAGTGTTCATAGTAACACATCATTGAAACTAAAAGCTTACTTTACTAACTTACTTTCAACAGCGACTTGCATCTTCTGTGAAACAGCTGTACTTCCCGCCCGTTTGTATTTGAGTATGTAAGAGCACCACCCCTTTAGGTTGGGTTTGGAGCGTTTGCGTTTTCTCATTGACCTCAGGAGAGGAGGAAAGTGAAGCGTTTATCTTCCAGTGAAACGCACGCGGGTCATAGCTTTCGGCGTCAAACACTAATTGACTGCAGAGCTCCGCTGGTCCTTTGAGGTACTCGCTCAATGGGACTTCCTGAAAGGTTTGTTTTCCTTACTTATTTATCGATTTCCTCAGCAAATTGATTAGATATGTGGTTTACACTTTTACATTGCAAGTCAAGGACGCGAACGTTTCTATTACAATCATCGAAGCCGCCTAACAGCGTCGTTCATTATAACAGTAATGTTCTTATTTTGTTGTATCACGTCATAGTGTCACTTAATTTTTAATAATAAAACTTTTTGAATCTGCTTGAGCGAGCCGACTAGTTTTTATCTTTCTTTTTTCTTAATTTCATAATTTTAACATTTAAATGTCAATATTTAACATGGTACTTTATTGTCGTCATATAAGGCTATAGGGAAACCACTTTTTGCGCTGTCTAACTTTTATACAATATTCCCACATTTGTACCGTAGTACTACAAATTAAACGTCGTTTAGCAATCCACAGCTTATCTCTGTATGTAAATGATTGTCAAGTACAAAGACTGCTGTTGCTACAACTTATTACACTGTTAGTCAGGGTGGACTGTATCAATAATATAATAAAATAAAATATTTTAAAATATAATAATGTTTTGGCTGATTTAGATTTATTGTGGTAATCTAATTAAATTGGTAATCTAATTTTTAATTTAAAATGATAAACATTATTTTTCAATAATAAATTGGTTTTAATGCATGCATATACAGTGGTGTGAAAAAGTGTTGGCCCCCTTCCTGATTTCTTATTTTTTTGCATGTTTGTCACACTTTTGTTTCTGAATTTCTTTGGATCTCGGCATGATGTCTAGCTTTTGAGGATCTTTTGGTCTACTTCACTTTGTCAGGCAGGTCCTATTTAAGAGATTTCATGAATGCGAACAGGTGTGGCAGTAAACAGGCCTGGGTGTGGCTAGAGAAATTTAACTCAGGTGTGATAAACCACAGTTTTAACAGGGGGGCAAACACTTCTTCACACAGGGCCATGTAGTTTTGGATTTTGTTTTCCCTTAATAATAAAAACCTTCATTTAAAAACTGCATGTTGTGTTTACTTGTGTTATCTTTGACTAATATTTAAATTTGTTTGATGATCTGAAACATTAAAGTGTGACAAACATGCAAAAAAATAAGAAATCAGGGAGGGGGCCAACACTTTTTCACACCACTGTATTATAATTTAACTTTCCTCAAATTGTTTTAGAGTATCATATGGTTGACTGAAGTATGTGATTGTTGTTTTCTTAGTGTTTGCACATGTCAGCACATGAACTGTGACCATCATGTTTCCTGAGCAAAAGGCCAGATAATGGTTTTCTTCTTCTTAATTATCAAATAACAGTTACCTTATATCCATGCTATGATCTTAACTGTTTCTCCCCTCTAATTTATAGCGCTAAACAGATATATTAAATGTTTTATTTGTACCAGAAGATTGTTTCCTTGTGGTGCTGGGTTAATCCAATCATTTGAGCAGGGAACTGTTCATAAAGTAACATGCACATTTGATTATGTGATCAAAGGACTCTTATTTTTAATCCAAGCCTTACTTTAGAAGAGAGCGTTTATAAGATGCAGCAGCTGTGTTTGTGGATTCATTTGTGGGGCAGAAGGGCAGGAAAAGACTTGCAATAAACTACAAGTGTAAACTCTTTTTATGAAAGTCTTGGAAACATTTTTATGAACCTACACAAATGTATTCTGCATGGAAGTACATTAAACAGAATCGGAATACAGTACACCTTGTGTACATCTTTGTTCTTTTGAAAGTGTATTTATTTAGCATTTGGAGCACAGCTGTGTAGACTAAACACTTACGAGCGTGCGCGCGCACACACACACGTGTGCCTGTTTATGTTTCTTTTTCATGAGTGTTTCTCTGGACGTGTTATGCCTATGGAAGTGTGTTGACTGACTCAGGGTTTTATTTTCCTGCACATTGAGTCCATCTGGTGTTATGAAATCAGCGCATCCCCACAGCTCAAGCTGTATTTGTCTGTTCTGTGACGCATTAAAGGGAAGTCCAGAGAAAGCTTTGAAGAAATGTTCTGCCTTGTACCAAAGCCGGGAATGTGTGAGACAAATTTAGGAGACTTGAGTGTCAAGGGTTTGGCATGTTAATGACACACACGACTGGACGTTCAGTGAGCTCTTCATTGTTGTAGCATGTGGTTCCATCAGTGACTAAAAATTGCTGGAAAAACATGTACTGTAAGAAAATCTACCTAATTTAACAAGTAATTTCAGCCCATTTTTTTGAAAATCTTGTCTTGTTTAACTCAAAAAATTAAGTTGGTTAAATAATTTAGATGAGTTTCTTTCATTAGGCTTCTGTAAAGATGCTCATGCGTGGAAAACCAGTGATAATTTACAGACAGTTCTCATTCAAAATTCTTGTTTTGATGGAATTGTTTTCACTCACACCAGCTCCTAGATCCTCACACTGAAAAGACCACAGAGGCAGATATTTTAGGTTTTCACTGAGGAGGAAAAAGAGGTCCTACATATTTTCCATGAGCTGTTATTCCGCTTTCTATTACTTTTTTTCCGGGCTTGCATCCATCTGCCATTCTGTAGTCTCTGATTTCAGATTAGTGGAAAGAGCAGACCCAGACCCTCAGGATGTAGTACTCTGCTAAGAGACAATAAGGAAAAACTGATGTATAAATCAGTTTTTATGGTGAAACAAGCTTTTCTTATTCAGAATTTGCAGCCCTGCGGACTGACAGCTGGAGTAATTGAATAATGAGGTTGAAAGATTCGTTTAAAGTGAAACATCTAGGGTTCAGTGTTGGTTAGAAGATTTCAGTGTTATTTCACATTTTCAATGAACTATGGACTTGAGTGAACACTAATCTGGTCCTTCTCAGATTGATCCATGTGTGTGTTTATTTTCCTCTGCAGGTTACACACTCTGTCTGGGTAAGTCCTATATCTTTCGCTTTAACCATCCCGAGGAGGCCAACCGTATGAAAAGCATGCTGCCTCAGAAGAGTCCTGTCTCTCCGCTGGTCTACAGCACAGGTAACCTTTCCTCCTTAACGTCACTATAATATTCCCTTCATTCTCTTCATCTTTCTTCTTTAACTATCCATCTTATGCACCCAAACCCCCTCAAAAACTGAAACCACTAATCTTCTGTACACACACACACACACACACACACACACACACAGCCTGTATCCTATATCACAACATGCCAGCTCCACCTCCATGGAGGATCTTCTCTGTATGTGTGTGAGTAATACATGGTTTCAGTTATCTGTCACAGCTCTTTTGCAGTCTGAAATAGAATCCTCTAAACCTTTGATGTAGCAGAATTCTTTTAGGAGTACTTAATGTCTACTTTACAGACAAGGCATCTTTACACAGCCGAGTTAAGTCTGCTTGGAGTATGGAGATAGAATTGTTGCTTAATTCCAAATAAATAGATTATGATCCACAAATAAATGTAATGAAATTAACAAAAAATTAAACATATTGACAAATAAATAGAATGAGATCCACAAATAAATCTTAAAGTTCCACAAACATGAAATAAATTCACAAATAAATAAAATAAAATTTGCAAATAAAAAACTTTCACAAATATATATGTATGTCACAACCACAACTTTGCCTGGCATTTATTTGTGAATCGCGTCCTGTGCATTTGTAGATAGCTGCACGCATTTGTGAATCGCATCCTGTGCATTTGCGAATTGAGAAACATTTCTTCCGTCAAGACGTGCTGACGATCCACAAATACGTGGACTCCACCCACCATCTACTCAAGCCAATCAGATAACAGCCACATTTCGCTGACCAATCGTAGCACGATCTCGCTATAGCCAATCACGTTTTGCTTTACAATCAGGGCGGTCTCGTCCTGAGATAACTTCATTCATCTGCATTGGCTCAAATAGGTAATATAAGGGCCATAAAATGGGTACAGTAAAAGATGTTTAAAATTGGAATGCACAGGATTCACAAATAATTGCCAGGCAAAGTTGTGGTTGTGATATATATTTGTGAATGTTTTTTATTTGCAAATCTCATTTTATTTATTTGTGAATTTAATTCATGGTTGTGAAACTTTAAGATTTATTTGTGGATGTCATTCTATTTATTTGTCAATATGTTTAATGTTTGTTAATCTCTTTACATTTATTTATGGATCGTAATCTATTTATTTGGAATTAAGCAACAATTATATCTCCATATTGGAGCAATCTCTGCTTCAATTTCTGTATAAAAATGCCACTTAAAAGCCATTGTAAAATATGGCAGCTCTGACCCATTAGCTAAAGTTAATTTTTAATTCACATTTTTATGGTATGCAACTTCGGTGCCACAAATAAAGCAATATGAAGATTACATTAATGAATAACCTTTATTTGATTTTTTTAATTAAGTGAATTACAATTGCTGGACTAACTCCAACTCAAACCCTAAAAAAAAAAGAATTTAACTGCATATATCTATATGGATGACTTTTACAGTTGAGTACATCCCCAAGGGTAGTTTTGCCAAAGTATATCTAAGCAAACCCACACACACTCAGGGAGCCAGTCTGTCTCATGGAATGTGTGATCTGTACACAGATGTGGTTTGGATTCTCCCCGTTGATTGATTGAACATTTTGAGTGAGGTGTAGAGAGTGACATAAATCATTGCCACCTCCTCTCAGTCTTTCCCTCACTCACACTGTGTTGCTAGACAGCAGAAATGAATCTTCACATAAACAAATGTGCACCCACTCACTCAAAGTGCATTGTGCATAGCAAACCTGGGAAAAACAAACACTCTGGGCCTTACTGTGCTCGATATACTCATATAAGTTAAACTTTAACCCTTATGTTGCTGTCTAGTTTGTTTATAGGGGTATAAACTTACCAGTGTGGTGTATATACACCAGCATGCATTGGTTTCTTTCAGTAGCTATAAAAAGTGAAGCTGGTCACTAAATGGTTAGCCAGAACCTCCCCATGTATGGTTAAAGTTTGTGTGATCTTGCATGCCTTTCATCCTACCCTGTCATCCTTGTGATATAGCTTTCAGTTTCTGCTCTATTTCCTTCGTTACCTTCACGTGAGAGATTCCTCCATGATTTAAGTTCTGCTCCAGCCTAATGTACGCACACATGCACCTTAAAGAGATAAAGGGATTTTTCTTGGCATGTGCAGGCTTATGTGTTTTATGAACATTCACGTCAGTCATCTGAAGTGGGATTTCTTTGATCTTCGCTGTCTTGGCACGTGGCAGAGTGAAGCTTACGTCTTGTCCAGAAAGCAGAAGAGAAAAGTGTGTCTGTAAAGTAGGGAGATAGAAGAGCAGACATAGAAGCCAAATTAAACATGGATGTCTTTTGTCCAAACTCTTCCTAGCCTGGATCATCTACAGTTATTTTAAAAGTTAAACAAATTAAGTTAATTAAGGAAGTTTTTGTATTCCTGGTTCACCTCATTGTGCAGTGTTTTGTGTAGAGTAGACTTTGGTCAGTTTCTGTTTCTAGAACATTCTGGACTTTGGTCAGTTTCTGGTTTTAGAAAACGTCTTAACTGACTAGGTTTGTGTTAGTTTAAGCTGTAACGCCACATTGAATTCTTGGAAAGCAAATAGACAGGCCTAATTTATTGGCCCCTGAGAGAAAACTGATGATCTTTTGGTTCAAGGTTTTTGCAGGTCAAACGAGTCTTGGGTATAGCAGTCCGAGCTCCCCATACTCCTGCAAACAATTAAAGCAATTCCAGGAGTTTTCAAGGACCAAGCAGGCAGTTATATAACTCCTCGTAACCACTTTTTCATGTTTGTAATAGTCTGACCTTTTTTCAAAAAGGAAGCTGCTCGTAATAAACTCTCGTTTATTCTTCTGAAGAACCTTTCTTGTGTTTATTTTTAGATTATCTGAAGTTCAGCAGCGACTTCAGTCATTGTCTAGGTGGCTCTGGCTCTAGAGGGATGCGCTCTGTCTCTGAACTGCGGGATTTGATGGACACTTTACAAAAAAAGAAGCAGGCATTGGAGAATAGTTTGCGAGCCAATGGGGACTCAAGCCCCTCCTACTTTAGCATGACGCAGTCTCCTCCCACCACACCCAATCTGCTGTCACCCATCACCACGTCCTCCCCAATATCCTATCAAGAACAAACCCGCCGATTGTACAGCTCCGAAAGGCCACCACTTGCGGCCAAAGTGCCAGGACATTCGTCCAGCGGCATGCCTCCATCTCCTCGCCGTTCTGACCCTCGAGAGCGTGACACATCACTTCCTTATTCTCGACCCATGACCCGGAACCAATCTCAGGATAGCCTGCTCCTCAATACATCAGACAGTCACCGTGCTGGGACCTCAGGCTCGGCTCTCTCGATGTGGAACGGCTCATCCACTGGTGCAACTGATTCCCTCCCTCCAACACCAGGGGGTGGTAGTGGTGCAGCCAGCATGCCATCTAGTCCCCGTCTGTCTCGTAGATTCAACACCCCAGATGCAGGCCGTAATGGAGGACTTGAACCCGCTCCACGGCAACGAAAGTACTCCGCTGGGTCACTTACAGGCATGAGCTCGCACAGTCGCTCCCTACCACGCCTCTATCGACCTGCCGACAGTCAGCTTACCCTCCTGCCAAGTTATCGGTCTCCTGACAGCCAGCTTTCTCGTCCAACTGGTGCTAGCCACCAGAATGGTCATTCTGAGGTAGTCTCCATCTCGCTGTCCAACAGACCTGTTACCAAACACACCGTAGCCCCTCCAGATGTCACCATGACATCGGGAGAAGCTACCAGCCCCCGCCAGGCCAAGAAGGTGAGTTTGACATCCATCAGCTGCTACTCAGAACTGGACAGGCAAGCCATGCGTGGTCCCTCGCCAGCTCTGGAGATTGGTCTCGGGGAGAGGAGGCAGTCTTTCGGAAAGGCAGGGCTGGGTCCACCGAGTGGCTTCAGGGAGAGAAAGGGCAGCATCAGCTCTCTCAGCGGAAAGGAAGAGCTTCAAGACTACCATCAGAGACAGAGGGACGAAAGACTGCGGGAACAGGAAGTGGAGAGACTGGTGAGAGACTTTAATCACTTTATGTTGTTCATGTATTGCTTTAAAGTCAGCATGAAATGAAAATTCCCCCTATTCATTTTTCTAAATGCATGTTATTGATCTTACAGTTAAACAACAAACTTCTTTGGTGACTTATGAAGGACTTTGTTGTTCTCTTAAACCTTGCCCCCTTCTTACGATTGACTGGAAGCTCGCATTCAGATCTGCCTTGATCCAATCAACAACCAAAAGTCTGAACCAAGATCCCACCCTTCATTTTTTTTGATAATCTGTTTAACTCAGTTGTACATCACGATATGGAAGGAAATATCTGCCACTACTTTGATTACATCATAGCTTTTCACTTTTTACTTTTTGTAAATGTTCCTGGTATCATGTTCAAATGCAAGAACTTGCTCCGCCTCCAAAATGACTTTCCTTTTCTGCTGATGTCACCTAGGCTAGGTGCATTAAAATAAACCAATAGCCAAATTTGTATTTACTACTATTTGTATGTACTGCAGTCTTTATAAGCTCTTGATGATGGGTAACTGTAACTTACTGGCAATTCATTTTAGTTTATTTAATTAAGTTGTGACTGCCATACCTTTCATAATCTAATCAATTCCCAATGACTCAAATCCCACCCTACGTTTTTCTCATCAAATCTCCTAGTTAGCTCAAAATGTCACATTTCATAAGTAAAATGGGTTTTAAATTCTGTTTCATGTTGACTTTAACACAAAATATACATAACATTATAGAACTCAAACATCTGCATGTCCAGTCATCGGTTTCATTTTTATGTTAATTTTTTTTATAAGCATATCATTTCTTCTTAAGACTCACCCAATATAAACAAAAAACGAATGACTTTCATTGATTTCATCTAGAATATTTAAAATTCCTCCTCCATTACCCTGTTTTCTTTTCTCATTTTGAAGGGGGTATCACATTAAAAGCTGGTGATATTTCAACTTTTCTTGCAACATGGGATCTTGTGGGAGCTAAGATATGGGGGACCCCACCTGCAGCTTAATTAATCTTCCTGCCAAACTTGCACTCTGGCATTTCACTTGGCTATAACAAACAAACTATGTGCAGGAAGGCCCCTCTGGTTCTCTGTAGTGGATGTGGTGGAAGACCCTAGCAGAGGTGTGGCTGCTTAAACCTCCTATTAATAGACAGCTCGACAGCCCAGAACCACATCCACTTTTATTGAACCCGGCCTCTCGAAAACACTCTCTCTGGGAGGCCGCCCACAGCTGCAGATGATCCTGGCAAATTGCCCATGCTAACATGCCCCATTCTTGCTTCTCAGCTGCTCTCAATGGGGTTCAAATGAAAGGCAACAGAGTTTTTGTACGCTGTGGTTAAGGGAGGCCACCTGTGGCGCCGCCCTGCTGGGCAGCGGCCAAACCATCATCGTAGGCTGCCCACTCATTAGTTAGCACCACAACTACAGGCTGGTGATCTTTACAAGGCCAGCACTGAGTGAAAACAAGGCCGCTACAGGTGGAGAAATATATCCACACATAGACTTTCACTGGGTTTCTTTAAAAAACATATTATTACAGACTTTAGCCATGGTTGTACATGTCCAGAAAACTCACACTCATTTCATGAAGACACAGTTGTGTAGCATGTTGTTTTGTTTTTTCTGTTTCAGAGCCCAATGAGGTCTAAAATTTTGGGAGAAAACTATCCAATAGCATTTCCAAATGGCAGCAGCATTGTAAAAAATCTGTGTGAAAAAGTTAATTTCATACATTTGATATCCATTTATATATTTACTGGTAATTTATATGTCGCTCGCAAAGATATGAATTGCTTTGCCAATTACTTTGAATGGCTGTAAGTGCGCACAGATGCTTTTTTTGCCCACTTTTTTTCCCATGGAAGATCCTGTTCCAGTTCCTGAATGCCTGATCACAAATGTAGTGCTATTAAATTTGTATTTGCTTGTTCTAGCTAGAAATTTTCATTACCTGTTAGTGCTATGCTAAGCTCTAAATTGTAACTATTAAAAACATTTTTGTTAATTGAAATAAAATACAATTATTAGAAGAAAAACTTAAACTAGAACATTTTCAATGTTTACTAAGCAACTAACTGAAATAAGTTTATGTACTAAGAATAAAGAGAAATAAAAATAAATTGAAACTATTTAGTAATTACTCTCAGTATAAATATTTCTAAAATAACGCTGGTTATATAATGTGAAGAACGATTTAAATAACATCAACATGTTTATATTTTCGAGAATAAATACACCGCAAAGCAATAACTATCATTTGACAGATCAATCCCATCACTGATACAGAGAGTTTTTGTAAATTTATTAGGATTATAGGAGGGGATCCATTGAAGTTTTCCTCTTCGCTCATGCACTGGGGCTGGTAGTGTGTCATGAATAAAAGCGGAAGGATTGAATCACGCTGCTCCTATTTGTATATCCTTTCCTGTCCAGTGCCAGCAGTGTTTTTATTGGGTCTAGTTTCACTCTCTGCCCAGTTTCTGAGAGCTCCCTCTCTCTCTCTCTCTCTCTCTCTCTCTCTCCCATT